GTTTAGGGTTTCGGATTTAGGGCTCAAAAGGTTTAGGGTTTAGGGCTTACAGAATTTGATTTAAGTTACTACCATAATGGGTATATATTTCCTTACTATAATCGCTTAACGGTTGAGCTATACAGAATGTAATTTAAGTTACCATCCTGGGTATCCATTTCCTTAACCTACTAGCTTAACCTAAGAGTTCCTTAACAGCAACCTGCCTCGGCTGTCGGCGGCGGCGGCCCGCGCTTCGAGGATGAGGCAGCTGACTTTCGCCTTGGGTTTAGGGTTCAGGGCTTGGGTTTTGGGGCTTAAGGTTTAGGGTTTAGGGCTTACGGTCTGAGCTGAAGCTTAGAGATCAGGGAGCTTAGATTTGAAAACAGTTTCTTGAAGGTCAGTGATTCACACAACTTCTCCGTGGAAGCTTTGGGATGAAAACCGCTTCCTTTACAAGGGTACTGTAGGGTTCTGTAATAGTGTGCCCTTAAAGGAATCCTTGAAAAAAAAACTTAAAGGAACCCTTAAAGGAACCCTTGAAAAAAAACTTGAAAGAAACCCTTAAAGGAACCCTTGAAAAAATAAACCTTAAAGAAACCCTTTTAGGAACCCTTGCGGGCCAGGAGGCATTAGAGCTTATAGCTTAAAGATCTCGGGCAGCTATGGGATCGTAGGATTTAGGGTTTAGGATCTAAGTTTAGGGCTCAGTGGATATGTGGATATGCAGGAGCTTCAGAATCACTTTCTTGTGCAACTTGCCCCTTCGCAAACCATGTGAGGTCTCGTCACCGGAGTGACACCAAGCCACCACGAGGGAAAGCGATGCTTGCACAGCTTACTGGCAGTGGTTTTGGGTCCGCGGTTCCGTTTAGGTTGCTGCTGCCTCCTTGAATCGCCTGAACCCGATATCCTTGCCATCTGGGTGAAGGCGCCATTGTACGTGCCTGCGCGCATGTACTTGCAACCCAACTCTGGGAAATAAAGATCTGCACGCACGTCACAAACACACGCACCAAACGAAAACATAAACAATGAAATGAAACCAAACCACACCCTTAAGCCGAAACCCTGAACCCCTAAACCCTAAACCCTAACACAAAAACACCCTAAACCCGAAGATCTTGAAAGGGCTAGACAGCTTATCAGAAACTTCTTGTTGAGGGTTCGTTTCGAGCCGTGGACCTCCCCCAAAACTCACCAAGAACCGTAAACCTCTGAAGCGGAAAATCAGCCCGGCTGAACACGGTCTAAGGGTTTAGGGTTTGAGGTGAAGGGTTTAAGATTCAAGCCTTTTGGGCGGCTTGGGGTAAAGAGTTTAGGACTTTAGAATTGGAGGGTCATGATTTCTCTAGGGTTTAGTGCACGCAGTGGCTGTAAGAGAGTGCGGAAAGGTTCAGTGGCATTCCCTCCCGTCTTTGCCAAAAGCTGAGTTGCTGTTGCAGCAGGGCTGGCAAGTTCTGGATGATCCCTGGCTGCTTCTGAGGCTGTCGTTGCTTTGCTAGTCCCTGGCTTCACGGCCACCAACAAACCCCGACATCTGGGATGATGATGATGATGAAGATGATGATGAAGCCCCTTGGCCCGAGTGCTGTGAGGCCTTGGACTAGGTTTTTCTTTGGGGATATGAGCCATGCCCCTCGTCGCGCAAGGCGGTGCGAGACCGAGGCCACACCACGCGATGAACCGCGCGATGGCGCTGTTCTTCCTGATCTTGGTGAGCGATTTCCTTGGAGGAGCCGTCCTTTTCCTCGTGTAAGCGCAGGACCGTATGGACCACCTCCACCGAAGTCATTGCACCACCGACGACCGAGCAAACCCCTGCAGCGACACGACGATGCAAGCAGCAGCAGCAGCAGCAGCAGCAGCAGCAGCAGCAGTTCAGAGTCAGCTGATGGCCTTCAATCCTTCGAGCCGGGCAGCCAGGACGGATCAGTGAGAGTTCCGACTTTGCTCTAATCCTTCAAGGACCTGAGCTGGACGAGGCAAAGGCCAAATTTCGTGGACTGTATCGAGCTGAGCTGGAGGTTCCGTTTCCGCATGCGGGCAAGCGCTCTCATGCAGGCCGCATGGCGTGGTTGCAGGGGAACATCGCAGCCAGCACGTGGCAGCAGCTTCAGTAGCATCGGTGCCACGCCGAGTACCAACAGCCGATGTGCTATTGCAGACAATGTAGGCGCACGCTGGATGAGGAACTCCCTCGCCGCGAAGGAAAAAGACGATGATGATTATGATGATGATGATGATGATGATGCTGATGCTGATGCTGATGCTGATGCCGATGATGATGGTGATGAAATGAGGATGATGATGATGATGATGATGACATGATGATGGTGATGATGTTGATGCTGATGCGGATGCTGTTGCTGATGCTGTTGCTGATGCCGATGATGATGGTGGTGATGATGATGATGACGACGATGATGATGATGAGGAGGAGGAGGAGGCTGATTAGGATGAGGATGAGTGTGATGACGATGAAAATATATGACCATGGTCATGACCATGACGATGCACATCACAATATTTGTCGCCCTCTCTAGTATGTTATACTGTGCATGGTCTGGCGGCATTGAGGAAGCCTCAATTACTGCAACTATTATTTGAAAAGTGCTGTATAGCTTTGGTTAAAGCAGGATGTTCCCTCCACATGCACCCCCCCCCCCGGCCCTGAACAAAACAGCATCATCTCGAAACTCTCTGATGCCCCAAGCACGAGGTAGCTGAGGTGTGGGCAGAAGTTCTTCGTGCACTCCTTGCTGGGCAAGGTCTGCCGACAAGTGGGGCAGTCGTAGGTCTTCCGCTTCCCGATGAGCTGCTTCATCTGAGCTGTCAAGGCAAGGCGTAGACGGTTTTGGACGTGCCCCTAAGGCCTCAAACCCAACGTCACGAAAACCCCTCTGTCAATTTAACAATCCGAGCGTGATGCGATGCATGTCTGGCAGAAGTAAGGCTCTCAGAGCTCTGAAACTTGGGGCCCAAGGCTTTCTTATCAACGCTTTAGGCTTTGAACGGCTTGCGATTCAAGGCTCAAAGTGCGGTTTAGGGCTTGGGATTTAAGGGTTTAGGGTCTTAGGGGTTTAGGTTTAGGCAGTTGGGCGATGAAGACACTGACGCAGTTGTGTCACTTTCAAGAAGCGAGTTTCAGGTACCTGGACTATGCCGAGATCTCCAGCACAAAAGCCCAGAAAACTCCCTAAACCCCAAACCCTAACCCCTGAACCCTGAACTGCCCTAAACCCTAAACCCTAAACCCAAGCCCTTCAAACTCTCCGCTCAGTTTCTGAAGCCCCTGCCAAGCTCAAGGCCCCCTGCAGGCCCCTCAAAACCCGAAGACCCCGAACCCCTGGCCTTCAAACCCTAAGCCCCAAACCCGAAAACCCTAAACC